CCCCAAAACCCCAAAACCCCAAAACCCCAAAACCCCTGTAAAGCACCAAAATTCTGAAAGAAGTTATAAAATTTATAAATAATATAAATGAAGAAGAGGTCCAAATGCCTAGAAATTGCTCATGAAGAGGGCAAAATTAACAATAAAATTCATGAATCTATCATTAGTAAGCCTGAAAGTCCCTTGTGTAGCCGCTAGTGTTGAGATTACAGTTCAAAAAGTGTTAATAACGTTTTATAGAATCTACCCTTCTTGGATTGGACTATCAAGCAAGCTCGTATGATTCATTGTAGAATACATTATAGAGTCTCCTTTCTGCTTTACAAGAGTATGATTTCAAAGATTAAGCCAAGAATTTGAATTTACCTTGAGAAATTAAAGAAATTTGGCAATATTCAGTATACTCATGAAGAAGTCAAAGCATTTGACCATGATGGTTAGGACGACATTCCTGATAAATAGATACTCTAGATTACAAATTTGCTCAAAAATAGCCTTCGATCACTAATCAAAGTAAGAACCCCTCATTTCTCCAAATTCACTTCTTAAATCTCTAGAGTCTCAAAAATAGGTCGACTTGCAAACTATTGATAAAGGGTTCAGATCAGATATGGTGGTTCCCAAACAAGGCGATGATTTCTATATGAGCTATTATAAACAGAGGAACTCAATTGATGACTTTTCAGAAGTTAAGTATTTCCAGGAAACAATTCCAAAGAATAATCTCTTCGTTATCCAATTGTAGGAAGCTGCGCTTTCAAGAATGAAAAATTTGTACTGAGAATATTAGGTTTAAAGCTAAATTTCAAAGAAGGATAAACTGATTATCCATGGTTGATTGTGGAAGCAAGGAATATAGTGACTGGGCCAAACACCCACAGAGAGTGTATGGGCTATTGGAAGGGATAGCTAAGTCGGGCTTGAAAGGAAATTTGAAGGTTCTAGAAATTACTCTTGCTAAAGTTGATGCTGAAACTTTTAAGAGCTGGGCCACTGAGCTTGGATTGGTCGACTCTGGTATCACCTTTCTTGACCTAGGAAAGGGCAAAAGTTATCAGTTGTAATTTGTTAAGAAGAAAGGTTGTTGGGTAAAATATTCAATGTTAGAGAAGAAAGCTTTTCTGAAAATTAGAGCTAGATGCTTGCGATAAAGAATCTTATTATACCTATGCATCGCATAATGCATTATTCAAGGATGCTTAAATATTTTGTTTATTTAAGATCTTATGTATTAATTAAAAGTTCTGTAGGATCGAAGAATTTAATAAATTCATTGATTTTTATAAAGGTTATGCTATGATTTTTAGGAATATGTCTCAATGTTTTCAGTTTTATTTCCAATCATTTTTAAATGATATATTTTTATCAAAGTTTTCTGTCTGGTTCTCTCAAAAAGCTTTATCCCAGAATTTAGATTTAAAATTTATAAAAAATGGCATTGATTCATGACAATTTTTTCTGGAAGCATCTAATTCTATGAACTAGTCTATTTCTGATTCATTCTGATAAAATATTTTTATTCAAACATCAAAAATAATAAACACATAAAATATATACTTTAAAAAATTGATCTTTCCTCTGAAAAGTTACATTCTAAATTCCTAGAATTACCAGCTTCTCAAAATGTTAGACCAAATTGAGGATAATAAGTATGTTGTTTAATAATATTTAAAAATGAAATCAACAAGGAAATCTCAAATAAAGCAAAAACAAGTTGAGGACCAATTAAATGAACTGTTACACAGCTCAGCAATAGGTAGACATTCATTTACATCCGCTTACTGTTAATTTTGTCATAAATATTTGGCACAAAATGAACAATAACAGAAATAATCTAGATTATTCCTGAACAGTGATTAAGAAATAACATAATGTAAGAGCTTAAATTTAAATTTAGAGTTATAAATAGTTTCTTACATCCGATTTTTCCTTATAAAGTGAGAAGGAGATACGAAAATAGCATTCTTTGCCAAAAAATGTTGAAGCTGGGAAAAATTGGGCAAAATGTTAAAGAATGAAAGATATGGCATACTTCAGGTAATATAAAGATGATCTTTAGGAGGATACCCACAAACGGAATTTAGCAAGAAGGAATTCTACAGTGTGTTTAATGTAAGAATTTATTGGTTTGAGCTAAACTTATTGCTATTTTTAGAAATTAACAGAGGATTTGTCAATATAAAAGTGCGCAGATTTTTAATAAATGGACCCAAAACGATAGCTGACTTTCCTTCAAAGGGAATGAGTTCGTTTTGAAAAATTTTGAACAAAGGAACTTCATCCATTTGTTTTGAGAAGTTATATTTTCCTAGAAAGCAGATGCAAAGAATCATTTCTGCCTGAACTAGTTGTGAGCAAATGAGATTCTCATTTTGAATTGTTCGTATTGAAAATGCAAAATTTAGAACTACTTTTAGAAACAAGATTTCAATACTAAGTTTTCTTAATTGAGAAGGTGTTAATAAAAGTGATTGGGATGAATATTCAGGCAAAGTCTATTATTTACTTAAAGCTATATCTCAATCAGGTTTGAGAAAGAGGCTTGAAGAATTAAATCTTGGCCAAACAATTCTTAAGAAAGAGACCGTCATGAATTGGACTAATGAATTAGGTCTAGAAGACATGAAGATTTCTTTTGAGCCCGAAGAGAATTAATGTAGGAGTTACAATCTTATAAAATGAGCTTAAATTTTGCTCTCAATTTCAATCTTAATTTGGCTTAAAGGGGTTTTGGGGTTTTGGGGTTTTGGGGTTTTGGGG